CTTATGGTTACCAGGGGGGAAGGGTGGGGGAGGGATAGTTGGGGAGTCTGGGATTGACATGTACACACTGCTATATTTGGGATGGATGGCCAACAGGGACTTACTGTGTAGCACAGGGAACTCTGCTCAATATTATGTGGCAACCTAGATGGGAGGAGAGTTTGAGAAAGAATGGACTCATGTATGTGTGTGGCTGAATCACTTTGCTGTACACCTGAGGCTAGCACAGCATTGTTAATCAAATATACTCCAATATAAAATAAAAAGTTTTTTAAAATAAATAAAAAAATAAAAAATCTCATCCCCTAGTTCTGCCTTAAAAGAAAGAAAAGAGTCAAGTTTTGATGTTTATTCTCAGACTTAGTGATATTATGATTTCATGTATTTTTACTGTTCATTGGCTGGAATAAAGAGAAGGAAAAAAAAAACTGCAATCAGACTCAAATTTTTATTCCACAAGTTCAGCTTGGAGAAGATGACACAGATGTCACTCAGAGTTCACAGCAACATAGACTATTTGAAAGAAGCATTCAAGTTGATGCCCAAAGGCATAGCCTACAAGGAAAATATCCACAAGTGTAGACACATTACAAGTTGTTTCCTTATTTCCTGAGGGAGACGAGAAAAGTATGATCAGGCAGCTCCTTGCAAGTACTTGAGGATAACTGAAGAAAAAGTGGAGAGCGAGCCTTCCATTTGTGTCCAAGCCTGTGATTCTCATCCTGATCTTCTAAATATTGGAAATACAAACTTGAAGAAAACATTCCTGCAGACGATCTTCAAAAAATATCTCACACAATATTCCATTATCACTTCCCTTGTAGAACCATGAAGAATTTACAAATTCTCTGTAGATTATTGTCCTCTCACATCATATCTATCTATGTTGGTATTATTTCTTCTATTATTATTATCATCATGAGTATGGATCAAGCTCCTGAAATGACAGGGACTGGACTAGCTGTCTAGGAAACGGGGTTGGGTAAGATGGTATCTCTCCCTTTAGGTATTTTAAAGACTTCTGGGAGGTATTCCGAGGGTACAATAGATCAGGTCATGTCTTACTATTTGGGCTTCTTCAACAAAACAGCATAGACTGGGTAGTTTGTAAAGAGCAGAAATGTACTGCTCACAGTTCTAGAGTTTGGAAATCCAAGATCTGGGTGTCCATGTGGTCCAGTTCTGGTGAGAGCCTGCTTCAGGTCTCACACTGCAGAGTTCTCATTGTTTCATCACAGGGCAGGAGAGGGAGGCATTTATCTCAGACCTCTTCTATAAGGGTACTAATTCCATTTGTGAGGCCTCCATCCCCACACCCTAATAAAGTCCCAAAGGGTCCGCCACCTGATACAATCACTTTGGGGGTTAGGACTTCAAACTAATAATTTTGGGGGGACTGAAATATTCAAACCAGAAAGGTCATTTAAACCTACATGCTTGGCATCTAGAAGAGAGAATATATTCATGCTGAGTAAATAAAGAAGAATGAGCAATTTATCTGGCCAAAAGTGCAGGCCAAGGACTCAGAATCCAAACCCTTGATTTTCGACCTGCAGTAATGCTTTAATTATTATGTGTCAAATTTTGGAAATAAATCAGGAATGGAGCCTATCGTCCCATGGAAGGGAATGAAGATACAGGATAAAAATGATCACTCATCATTCCTTGTGAGGAGTCTCCAAAGAATCTCAGGATATAGGTAGTAATTGTCACATCAGTAAAGATCCAGCAAAGAGTAATGTGGCAAATTGTCTGGCTGCTGTGACCTGTGTGAATCAGGGAAAGTTTGAGTTCAGATATGTGGCTCTGTATGTGACACCAAGCTGGTTATTTTCTGTCATGACCTAGTACAGGACGAATTAGCGACGAGGCCATCCTCCTGAGTTTAATAGAGTGCCGGGCAAAGGCTGAAAATTGTGCTGCTCTTACAACTTGAATCCCCAGAGCCATATGCACCGTGAAGGAAAGAGAATCCTAGTGGTTTTAGCAACAAACTCAGTAGGCATGACTGATACCAGTAGGAGTAGAGTGGGAATACTAGCCACTGTCTATTATAATCCCAGCAAATACGACCGTGATAAAGGAAAATAGCTTGGTCATTCGTAACTGCCTTCCAGTGGGAGGAGAACATCTGAGAAACTGCTTTAGTTAAAAGTACCTGTTGCGTGATTACACTGGGCCTGGTGCCGAGGATACCACAGAGAATATGACAGAGTCCAATTGCTACAGAGCTGATTTGCCAAAGATGGTCACATACCTATTATTTATTGAAAGATCGGAATTGGAGAGGGCTGAGGCCACAGAACATCCACTGCAAAATAAAAGAATTCATGATCAGAGTTGAAAGTTAATTCTTTCCATAATACCAATCAATATTTATCCAGTTCTCAATTAATTACAAAGATGGTTTCCTTTTGTTTGAATAGACTTGGATTGGAACCTTTGACAGTCTTTGGGAAATTTGAAATTTAATGCAAAAATACAGAGTAACCTTCAAATCGGTGATGATTGCTAAATCATGCATTCTCACTGGGGATGATACTGCTTCCATGGGTGCAAACATAGTTTTTAGGAGTATGAACAAATCTTGCTATTACAATGGTTTGTGGCACTCCAAAACTCAACCTGATACTACAAAACCTTATTCCTTTGTATTCATTTTTGTCTTTGAGATTTTTTTGTGTGTATCATACATAAGAGAAGTATTGACATTGACTTCAGGGAAGGTAAACACACTGTATACAAATCAGTATTACGACCTAAGGTGACTTGATGGTTCATTGGAGGACTTTCTCGCCATCATTTTCTTGATCTCAAAGTCATATTGTGAGAGGTGGCCTTTACATACTTACGAGCAGCCATTGGCTGTCTTGTGGATGTTGCTTATGTTTGAGGGTCAGCGTGATTTGGGATTGGGAAATTAAATACAAGTCGTAAATTGTATTTGTAAGTAAAATACAAAAAATATGATATTTTATTATTTAATTCTACTAAAGTTGTTCAACACATCCATAATTATGGCAAGTGATAAACAGAAAAAAATGTTGACAATATCTAGATGAATATCTAGCAGTCAGTGTAATTAAAAATTATTTTCTGATATGAAGCAAAATTAAAAGTTAAGTACCTAAAAATAAATATTAAAGAAATAATTTAGTTTTGCTATGATTTTGAGCAGCTTTGAATGATTTTTAAGTATGTCTGTACACTGGTATTATTATAAAGTATCTAAATTTTATTTGAATATATAATTTGAAACATTCCTACTTATATAAGTAAATATATTACATTAAAATCACTTTGAAAACTTAGTTATAAAGTTAAATTAAAATTCAATAGCTTTTAATTTAAATTATAGCTTAAAATTTTACGTATTCTTAACCCTGCACTGAATAGAAAAAGATTTTCACTTTCTTTTTCTATGTATAAAGTAAAGATACACATGGAGTACAAAAATAGATACACAGTATATCTGTGGTATCAAAATTTCATGTTGGGGGCAATTAGGAAAAAACTATCTAAAAAGGCTCTGTGGGCAGAGGAAAGAGAGGCAATAATGAAAAAAAGGTTGAGAAATGTTGTCCTAACCCATCTGGAGAGTGCAAAATGAAAAGCAAAAACAGAAATAGAAAGTAAGACTGAACATTCAGAAAATGGAAACGAATGGGTTCCCATTTAAGACCCAGGCCTGAAGGAAGGTCTTCAGAGAACCTAGAGAGCAGGGTTCAC